TAGCGGGAACACATCGATCGACGGCGTCGCTGCGCCGCGCCAGACGTTAGTAAACGTCTCGGCAATGGACGCCATGGCGGGAACCATCGCAGCAAGGTTTTGCCATTGAAAGGCCCGCGAGACGAGCCGCCGATGGAGCTTCCACTCGTCGCGCATGAGCAGCGAGACCGAGCGGTCGCCCAAGAAGGCCTGCATGTGCATGTCAATGATCGGTGTCGGCCCGCGGTTCGTTGTCGCCATGTAGACTTGGCGCACGTGGTCGGCGCGCGTCACGGCCACGCTGGGCTGCGAGAGAAGTCGGAACGAGACCATGCCGTTGGCGTCGGCAGCATCGACGAAGAGGCGCGTCATGCCCTCGAGCGTCGACATCTCGACGGCGACACCGACAAAGGGCCTGTGCAGGCCTGCCGGGAATGGCAGCCCGGGCAGGAACGGCGCGTTGCGACCGTAGCGGTGGTACACGTAGGCGACGACGATGACAAGGATGGCGGCGCCAGCAGACATGACAGATCCTTCCATGATCGCGGTCGATGCGCAACTCTTAATGCACGTGCTGGCAAGATGGACGTTCGAAATTTGGGACGATTTGATTGGCGCGTGAACGCCGGTCATAGCACCGGTCTGCAACATGACGTGGCACGCTGAGTGTCATTTTAGTGAGCTTTGTCGATATCCACGTACGACTGCTTTTCCTCTCCTATCTCGACTATTTGCATAAAGCTCATTGCAGAAAGGCGACACATGCAGACACTTGCGATGCGTACATTCACATGCCACTCAACCTTAAGGATCGCACGACGCATGAACTCGTCATCGAATGCTGTGACCGACGACGGCGCGATGGCCCGGAAAAGTCTGCACACCGCAGTGCAGCAAAGGTTGAGCGATGACTTTTGTCTAGGCCAACGCGCCGTCGTCCCAACTACCGTTAGACAACGCTTCGCATCCACGTCTAATTCAAAAAGTTCGTGCCAGCTCAGTCCGCACGGGACCAGTTTAAAAACGCATATATAAGTCGAGTTCACCTTGTGGGCATATCAGTGTTTATATACAGTGTATAAAGTCGTATTGAGTGTCTACTCGTCTTCCTTGCAGTGGTGCTGCACGGGACTGCCCGTCTCAGCCCACAGATTCGCGGGTGTGATCTTGTCGAGCTGAAGGCCACGGGACGAGGCCCAGCGCATCAGGTTCTCGGGCGCGTACTTCATGGCTTTGTTTTGGTAGCGCTCAAACACAGTCTTGTCGATGGTCTCGTTCACTGACGTGTCCTCGTTGATCTTGCGCAAGTGCGTATGGCCTAGCATCATGACGCGCTGCTTCCAGTCAATGTCCATTTGCTCGCTGTCGCGGAGGTGCTCGGTGCCATCGAGCGTAAACTCGTTCTTGAACGCAAGCCCTTGCTGGATCGCGCACTGCTGCACCCAGCGCAGCGGAATGAGCGAGAGCACGTCCGTCGCCGAGAAGCCGCCGCCAATGTTGCTGTGGACACCGGCAAACCAGCGCTGCTCGACAAAGTGCATGGCCTCTTCGTCTTCCAAGGCGACGTCTTCGCTGTCGTCAGAGCTCGTAATTTGCCGGATCGAGTCCAAGTTCATGTGCTCCGCAAAGCGCTTGGGCGGCTCCTCGCAGTACATGACCTGGAACGACTCGCGGTGCTCGTCAATCGCCATGGCGTGGACGATGCGGCCGACCTTGGTCGGGTTCTGCCCGTACCGGTGTCGGTCGCTCCGCGGGTCGGCGGCCACAACGTCAAAGATGCCGACGAAGTGGATTGCAATAGGCGTGCAGTGGTTGACCATGATTGCCTCCGTCTTGGTGAGCACTCCGCGCTTCGTTTCGGGCAGCGCGAGGAGCTGGTCCAGCGATCGGGCACTCGTGTTCTTGTGCACAAGCTCGTACTGGTCCCATAGTATGTCGACCGTGGCCGCACTCTCGGGCGCCGCAAGACCGCACGTATCGATGAATCCAACGAGGGCGCGCACCTCAAACGCACCGCGGCTAAACCTATTCAACGCATTCGACGTTGTCGCGTTTCAGAATGGTCGTACCCAAAAAGATACACCTTGTCGCCGGGGACGTAGACCTTGGCGAGGTACTTGTACACGTTGTAGATGATGTCCTTCATGCCAACAGCTAGGAGGCCGCCCGTCAAGTACGACCCCCATGACGTGCCCACGCCGGGAAAGTACTGCTTGATTTGATCGGCAGACGTCGCCGTCGCGTCATAGAGGCGGTGGACGTTGGTGTCGGACTCGGGCGTGTTCCACGTGCCGTCCATGAAGAGGGCGATGCGCTTCGGAGTCGTTGCCGCCATGCGAGCTGGAGATGGCAAAATCAAAAATGAACGTGTGTGGTGGTGGCAAGGGTAGTAAAAACAACGGACCGGTCATCGATATTCGATTAATCTGGACGCTCGGAGATTGACGGGGGCTTCTAAATCTTATTCGCTTTGCGCCTTTATTGGACACTGCTTAAAACGAGGCGTTGAGCCACGTGCTTTCTCCGGCGTGGTAGCTCGGTTCCTCTTTTCAACGACCGACCATTCGATCAACGATATCCGGAACGTCTCGGTTCGCATGCGACGACGTTTGGGAGGATCACC